ATAGAAATTCAACACAGCAAAATAGCCAGTTTACAAAGCTAACTTGTTAGCTATGTGACAGTAAGTCACATATACAATAAGCTCTTGTATATCTCAGTTTCCTTACTAACAAAATGAGAGCTGGGGTTAGGTGACCTCCAGGGTTCTCACATCCTGTGATTTTATAAAAACTCAGATGAAGAAGCATTTTTACTTTTGATAATCCAGTCTCCTCTTCAGATGGACAGGTGATCGTGATTGAAGGCGTTCCAGAAAATAGGAAACAGTGGCGGCGCGAAGCACCAGGAACCTTAATGAGTGTTTTGGCAGCAGCACATCTAACAAGGAGCTCGTTTTCTGCCAGTGATGGAGAATTTGGTAAGTAGTTTATTTTTAAGGACAGAACCAGTCCCCCAAGGAATTTTGTCAGATATGTACATGCAGAAAGGAGCTAAAAATAGCCTAGAGAGGGCATTGGGAGGATGTCTGAACCTCTTCAGAAACTGATTTGCTTTGTCCAAGTCTGTCCCAAATGCCACTAACAAAAGACTTGAACTTCTGAGAAAAGTTGGGTAGTTTTCTTTAATGTGATTGGTTGATGAGTGATGAAGAGTTAGGTAGGAAGGACTAGTGACTTTGTAGAGGATGAGCTAGGGCTTAGCACTGCCTGACAGGCCGTTGATTTCTGACAGTCATGCAGCAGACACAAATTACTATCCTGTGGGCAATAAACATACATCTTAATATAGTTTTCTTGGCCTTGGAATTTTTTTTTTTGCCTCCAATTTTTAGCAAGATTATGCTTGTGTTAACTTTAAGGGAAACCAACTGTTGTTTTCTAAAGTTTGAGGAAATCCATATCACATTGGAGATTTGGGGCTCGATCAGGTCTGCAGGTGTGAACTATTAGGAGAAAAGCCACTGAGGGTGGCCAGGTGGCAAACAAGGAGCATCTGTGCAGGGCGAGGTTTGGCAGAGATGTGAGGCTGAGGCGGGCAGGGAGGCCTGGGTACAAACCTGAGAGTAATGGGTGCCGATACATGCTGACAAAGTGTGCACAACACTGAGAATAATGCAAGAGAGCTAACTGGCTGTTTCTGAAGAATGCGTCCACTGGCTTGTGAAGCCCAAGGAAAGGGGAATCTGTGAAAGTTGAGTCTTAAAGGATGCACAGCATTTTACTGAAGAAAGATCATTTCTGGTGGGGAGGACCTGCTGATCCACAAGCCTGTGCAGGAGACAGAAAGACAATATGACTAAAATCCAGGAGCAATAGAAGGGGCCGGAGTCTTCCGAATAGATGAAGTCCTTCAGTATTATTACTTACCTCAACTGAGACACTGTCCTTTAAAACTGAAGGCGGCTGGTGGAAAGGTGAAGAGAGAGAAATGCATCTAGTACCTTCAGACCACAAACTGCAATGTGATTGCTTGTCTGCTGCCTTTCCTTCTGTCCTGGGATAAAAGTACGGTCTCTCAGGATGGGGCTGGAGGCCAGGGAGGAAGAAGCTTTGGGCTGGCTTGGCTTGGTGGAGAAGCCAAGGCCTGGGGCCCCACACCCGGTAGAAGAGTCTCATAGACAACTCTTCATTTGATCTTGCATGCTAAATGAATTCATGAACTTAACTGCATTTTCGCATGGTTGGCTTTTCACTAGGCATATATGAGCAATTTATTTAACGAGTGGGATTAGAAACAGGAACTTGCCTCCAAGGGTGGCATTCAAAGCACAGTGCAGATAGTTTCTGTTATAACCTGCTAAGGGTGCAGGCATCCCCTCCCACCCCGCTGTGCTTTGCTCTTTCAGCCTCTAACTCTGTCGTTGGCCTCCCATCTCCTTTCCTACCTGTGTAGCAAGCTTGACTTCCTGTCTCTGGTCATCTTTTCTTCCTTCAGCAATCCCTCTACATCCTTGCCCAATAATCCTAAAACAGACCAAGTTTTCTTCTCTGCTTCAAATCCTGCCAGAGACTTTCCCTTCCCCTCAAGAAAATGCAGATTCTAAGTCCCTTAAAGACTGGATGGCCCCTCTCAACACTAGAGTTGCCAGCAATTCTCCATCAGCAAATATTCCTCCCTCTGTTTAGAACGCACACCTTCCTCCTGTGAAGGAAAAGCCGGGCTGGTCTAACAAGATAACTCACAAGTCTAGGAATGTGAAGGAGAGGCTGGGCTGGGCTAACAAGATAACTCACAAATCTAAGTATCAGAATACTGATCTGAGTTCTGCTGGACTAACTTGTAAATCTGAGTTAATTAGTGTTGGTTTGCTGTTCATGTTTTTTGCTAGCAAGTTGGATTTTCAAAGATACATATCTGGCTTTGGAATGTTGGTTTGCTGCCTCCCTGCCTCCACTTTTGTGATAATGATGTTGCTAAAGCTGTTTCATGCCTATTGGCCGAATACCCCAAGCTTGTATTTTACCCTATAAAACCTCATGCGGATGTCTTGGAGGTGCTCAGAGCTTCGGAGCAGAAGCCCCTCTGAGCCCACCGGCGTAATACATCTGAGTACTCCAACCCTCCGAGTGGTGCTTGTTTCTTGGCTGGCCTGTCTTTTCCGTAACACTCCCTTTACCAAAGTAATTCCTCCTGTATGATTCCACTCTGATGAAACCTTGCCGGGAGCCATTCCACCAATGTTGATGCCCCTTGACAAAGTCAGGGCAAAACGGCCGTGCAGATTGCAAAGCAGTCTCACTCTGGAAAATACCAACATTTCCTTCTGTTGTTTATAGTGCTTATGATTGGATTCGGGTACATGGGCTTTTTGAAAATTGTACAGGATGATTCTTAATCTGGGGAAATAATAGGGGCTATGATGCTGACTGTACAGGACAATTTAAACAATGGAAATTTCAATGAAAGTACTTGGAAACAAATCAAAAGATCAGGGCCCCCATGGTGTGTCATGCCTCAAGCCCTAAAGACAATGTATGCCGTCAGCTCTGTAAGAAACATAAGATAGATATCTCTAGGTTGACTGTTCTCCTTGTAGGTGATAGAAACTATAATCAGCCCACTGTTTGAGTTCTAGGCGCCAGTTGGTTGGGACCCTCGTGATCTTTTCTTCTTGTGCTTGTTTTCGTGAAATAGTTTTTGGTTAGGAGCTGTTCTTACGGATAGAATTGAGAATGGGTTAAGGGGTAATGATTAACTAAGTATAAGGCTAAGAGGAAATTTAAAAAATCATAAGGGTGATGACGTTCAGTCAAGTCAAAAAAGGCCCATGACCACATCCTGGGTATGGAAAAAGGTTAACAATGTAAACAATAAAGACGTAAGAGTCAGCTTGGCCACAATGTGAAATCACCTGTTTGATAAAATTGTATAAATGCCACAAATAAAGAAAGCCTTGCAGAGTTGCCTGCATGGTGATTAAACCTTGACTGGCTCTCTCCTTCGCCGACGCGGTCCATCCCCGGGTACTCCTGGACCTGCTGGAGCGGGAGTCCAGCAAAACCTCCTGCTCATTTCTGTCATGATGTTTTATCTGTAGTTACTCTTCTGTCCCTACAATTCCCTCTACTGCTAGACAGGGCTTTGCAAAGGTGTCTGGAATACAGGAGATTCTTAATAAGTTAATCATTTGAATGAATGACTGGAAGAGCCTGTAAACTTGGTTGACATGCTTCCCTTTAACCATAAACTTCTTTTTTTTAAACATTTTTTAATGAGTTATAATTATTTTAAAATGTTGTGTCAAATTCCAGTGTAGAGC